CCTAAACCCATAAACTTCTAAATTCCGTAACTTTCACATATGAACTCTGTTTTTGACGTTCTTTATATCCATGCGTAGGTAGCGACTTGATATACAACTTTCGTTTAGACTCCGTCGGTTAATTTTGAATTATTTTTAAATTTATATTTTAACAGCTTAGACAGATAAAGTCCGTTAAAATATCATAACTTTGTCATCCGACGTCCGTTTTCGTCTGTCTTTATATCGTTGAGATCCTATTAACGAGATATTCGATTCTCGTTTATATTGTTTTGGCTAAAATCGATTGATCTAAAATTCGAATTTCGGGCTGTGCACTACTATGCTAAATTTTAGAAAAAACATAACTTCTTCATACGAAGTCAATTTGGATGTTATTTTCATGTACGTTCTCGGTTTAATTACGAAGACTTTCGTTTAGATCCCTAAGGCTAAAAAGTATTTTATCGCAAACTCACTTTTTACGACACACAACGTCCTGTCGGTTTTGTCGCAAAACTTCGACGAGTCATAACTTCTTCGGTATAACTCGGCTTTCAGCGTTTTTTATATGTACGAAATCCTTGTGACATATACACCATTTGTATCATTATAATTTTTGAATCATTTAATTTTGAATCATAAAAAATATAATAATTAAGGATCATAAAATATTTGAATAAAAATATTTTTAGATCATAACAAGTTAAGGATCATAAAAATATTGAATCATAATATTTTTGAATCATAAATATTTTGAATCATCTCTATTTGCATCATATTATGTTCAACAATTTTTTTAAAAAATCTTTTAATATTTTAAAATCAAGTTTGGTATCTAAACCACCTTATTTTTTTAAAATTCTTTATACAAAGTCATTAGAATAGTGATTAGAAGTATTCCTTAAATTTTTTATAATTTTTGGAGAATTTTTTTTCTGGGTTCTTTTTTATAAATATAAAAAAAATTCAAAATTTCATGATTGTGCTAATTTTGAAGAGAATTAAATTTTAAAAACTTTGGTTTTTTCAGATTTTTTTTCAAAGAAAAAAAAAGTTATGGCCAAAAAATTAAACGGGTGGAAAAAAAAACTCACCAGTCAATAAGGGCTGGACACTTGAGATGTTGGGGTGGAGGCACGTGTCAGCTCCTGGAGAGGCCAAATGGCCGAATTTTCCTTTTTTTTTCTTTTAATCTTTTTGTTTTTGTCACTTGTATCCTCAAAACAATTAACATTCCCCAGAAATTATCAGAGCTCGCAATTAATTATGAAAATGTCATATCATCTCGCGACATTTTGACGATAAATAAAATCAAATCCTAACCATTTATTTTTTCAATGTTAAGGCCAAAAATACTCCTCGCCGTTCCTACCTAATCATATATATATATATATATATATATATATATATATATATATATATATATATATATATATATATATATCTATATTATAAAATATATTAGTCATATCTTGAATTTTAAGAGGTATAAGTTACAAAGCTTTTTGTACAAATCAATTATGCATAAATAATTCATCAATACTTACGAAAAGTTTGAAGACTTAAATTAAGGAAAATAATTAAGAAATTCAATTTTGAGCAAAATGAAAATTTTAAATATTTAATTCATGTATATAGATTAATTTATATTTTTTAAACTAGACACCAATATTAATTGATTTACATTAATAGTATAAATAGGCAATATAAATATAAGGTATAAACTGAAATATTTTATATAAAAATGGTAATTTTTTTATTACACAACTACTAATAATAAAATCTAATAATTATTTCTCCGTAAGAAACTATTCACCCAAATAGTTATTTACCGTCGCCGCTTTACGCGTGCACGCATCTACTATATATATATATATATATATATATATATATATATATATATATATATATATATATATATATATATATATAGCAAAACAAAAATCTGCTCTAATAAATGAATGTTTTTTTGTCACTTCTCACACTCTTATTCAATTTAATAATGTCATTCTGTGGTTATTTTGAATTAATTTTTTTTCCACATGTAATTTTATGAGTTTTTCTTTTTTATTAAACTCTACATAATATTTTAATGTAATAATTCCAATAAATATAGTAATAAATCGTTATCAATTTCATTAATCAACTTACCGTTTAATTTCAAATTCCCAAAATTAAAGCTCATTAGTTCTTTTGTTTATTTATTTAAATTATTTGTTTAAATTTAAAAGATAAAAAACATTTCCATTATAATAATTAATTATTTTTCTTATTTTCTTATAAGTTTAAAATTCTCAAATATTTTGACTTTTATATATATATATATATATATGGTGAGGTTCAATAGAGAACCTTAATTAACCAAGGAATCAATCGTGAGCGTCAGAAATCATAACGATCAACGGCCAAGTAAATAGATATACACTTTTACATTGGACGCACACACACCGGATTATACCGAAAAATCCACCCTTTACAAAAAAATCCACCATTTTTTTTCGTTTAAAATTTTTTTTAGACCATGTTTTTTATCGAAAAAAAAACTGAATATACCGTTGTTCACGATTTTTCGTCCTCTTTCCATAGCGATCCATGATGATATATAAAAAACGAACATTTTTTTTCGAAAAAAACTCACTTCATTTTCTTTGATGAAAAAAGTTAATGTATCTTTTTATAAAAAAAATTAATAAATATATCAAAATTCATATTTTTTGTACTTTTTAAACATAGATTCATATTCATGTTAAAAAAAAAACGATATTTCAGTTCAGATTCATATTGTGAACCTGGTCAGATTCATATTGTAAACTTGTTCAAATTCACATTGTGAACCTCCTCAGATTCACAGTGTGCATAATAAGAAGTCAGATTCACAGTGTGAATCTGAACTGATCGGAGCTTTTTCACATTGTGAATGTTAAAATTTGAAATATTTACAGTTTAGATTCACAGTGTGAATCTACACTGATCGAGGTTTTTTTTTTTTTTGTGAACCTTTTCAGATTCACAGTGTGCATAATAGTAATTCAGATTCATAATGTGAATCTGAACTGTTCGAGATTTTTCATATTGTGAATGTTAAAAATTGAAATATTTATAGTTTAGATTGACAGTGTGAATCTACACTGTTCGAGTTTTTTTTTTTTTTTTTTTTTTTTTTTTTTTTTTATAATATCGGTGTTGATGTTTATTAATAGACTACAAAAAATTAATATTTTTGGTATAATTAGTTTTTTTGATAAAAATAAACTTAAATATTGAAAAAACTAAGAAAATTAAGTGGGTTTTTTTCGAAAAAAAAGTTCGTTTTTTATATATCATCATGGATCTCTATGGAAAGAGGACGGAAAATCGTGAACAACGGCATATTCGGTTTTGTTTTTCGATAAAAAATTTGGCCTAAAAAAAATTTTAAATGAAAAAAAGAAAGTGAATTTTGTTATAATCTGGTACATTTGCATCCATTATAAAATTTTACAACCCTTCCTTTTGCCGTTGATCGTTTTAAATTCCGACGCTTTGGATTGGTTCCTTGGTTTCTTGATTAATAATGGTTCTCTATTGAACTTTTCCCTATATATATATATATATATATATATATATATATATATATATATATATATATATATATATATATATATATATATATATGGGTCTAGAAGTATTTATTTATTTGCTAAAAGAAAGAAAGTCAAAAGTCCCAAGTTTGACCAAGTCTTAGGCTAAGCGGAGTGGGGATGTTAAGCCCACTCGCTATGCTTGCTAGCGAGCCATCAACACCGCCCCCTAGCACTCGCTAGGGGGGTCGCTATCCGATCATCGTTACCACTTTGGCGAGAAGAGAGAGAGGGTAAGGGTGGAAGCTGATTGGTGGAGACGGGTGAATTCCTGATCGTGAGAAATCGGAGATGGGTTGGCGACAAGGATCGATGCTGATTGTTGAAGACAGAAGTCGTGATCGATTGCTCATGAGTTCGTGACTCTGATCGTGAACGTGAAGGAGGGAGGCGGATGGGATATACGACTTACGAGCATTAGATTTAGGTTACGGCTGATGGAAATGAAAATATGAAATACAAAATGGTAATACAATAAATTAGGTTTCAAACATCTCTATACCTAATGGACTTGTGAATCCGTTTTTTAGCAGCCCAAAAGTTAAAGAGCCCAAATTTCTTTTTATTATTTATTAGGTAGTCCTATTATAATTTTAATTTTTTTAACCATATATAATTTATTTAATCAAAAAAATAAATTTATTTAATATTTGTGTACAACAAATGTTTGTATATTAAAATAAAGTAATTAAATTAAATCAGAAAAAAAAAATAAAAATATGGAGTGTCAGGAGTGTCACCACTCCCTACCAAATGTTAAGATTAGATGCTAAATTGCCAAAAAATGAGGTGGCACTCCAAAATCTGACGTGACAAGGTGTTAGGAGTGTTACCGCTCCCCTTAGTCTTAATGTTGACCGATTTTATGGAGTTGAACTGATTTGTTCTTAATTTTGATCGATTCTGATTTCTTGAAATATGCTTGATTTTTCAGAAAAACATCTGAGAACACATTTTACAATATTTACAATATTACCAATTACACAGTCTACAATGTTTCACATCTTTTTATATTGTCTTTTAAAATTAACTGTTTAAATAAAATGTTTTCTTCAGCAGAAAATGATTAACTTAAAAAAATAAGATGTTTATGAGATGTTTATTTAACGGTATCTTTTTTAATGGAAGTCCCTTATACTTCGTTTTCTGACTTTTCTCCCTTTGAGGTCTTCAATGACCAATTTTATTTCAAAATCAGTCCATATCAACAATCTACAGATCCTTCTTTCAAAATATCATCATGGGAAGAACATCCTCACTTATATTTATTCACACACGTTATAAATAGATATATGCAACACATATCATAAACAACACTTAAAAATTTGAAGTAGAAACTAACGCGATATGCATAGTAGACACCATCATCATGTTACTCAACAACTACTAAAATGGTTAAAAGCTTCTATAATCGTGCTATAACAACTTGTACATCACTGCATGAATCACATATTTAACCATTCCAATAATTGGAAAAAAGGACACGTATATAAAGTGTTGACCTTTTAGTTAGTGATAGTCTCTCCATCTTTACAATTTCTAATTTGTACTTTCATGCTATTATACTTCCAACCCATGATTTCACAGCATTGTCTCCTTGGTCCCTGTACATCATACCAATTACCTTATTAGTCCCTCTAAAACAATGTCATTAAACAAAACTTCCAAAACATCCTATTCGGATTTTGTTGCAAGAAAAATCCACTGAGGCTATATCACAAAAAAAATCAACAAGATTTCACACTTGTATCATTTAACTTTCAATTTTGTTTTATTATGGAGAAATTTTGTATTCTTTTGTTCCATTCTTATAAAAAATTGTATTTCATATTAAGCAATAACAAACTTTCAACTTTGTTTGAATGTTGCGGTAATATTAAAATATTAATGGAACAACTGCAAAACTTGATTACTTTTTAGCGACATTGTCCTTTTGATGAGAAAAACCCTAAAACTTGGTTAACATTTTGACAAAATTAATTTAAAAACCTGCCACGTCATATATAAACTTGAATGGTTAAAACCTCTTAAAAACGTGCATGTTAATAGGTGAAAGAAGTGTGAAACTTTATTACAATTTAGTGACATTTTCCCATCAAAATTTGAAGTCTAAATGCAAGAAATAACAAGACACTTTCATTTACTTATGTTTTATAACATCCTACTTTCCTTTTTTATTATATAATTGCATTTTTTAACAAAGTGTTGTACTTTTAAAAATGACTTTGTTAAAACATTCTACTTCGAATGATGACATAGTTGGCGCACTATACTTAAAACCTACCCATTATAGCAGTGGAAATCGATTTATATCCGGATGATATAGCTATAATTGGGTATAAATTTTAAGTACGATGTAATAATAGAAAGAAATGAAAGCATGATGTTATAACAAACAAATAAATAAAAGTACAATGCTATTTCTCGCATATAAATTTTTAAATATATAACCGTTTACCTTGATCCAATAACTAGGATCCATCTTCGATGCCAAAACTACAACCGTCTCAATCGCGTGAGGATAATTTCCCTTTTTACATTTTTTTAATGATCCATCTCTCTCATACGTGGTCACTGTCTCATTTCCATAATCTTGCACATTGGCAATATAGTAAATAGCAGGAAGTTCACACGGGTTGGATGAAACGGGTCGGGTATTGAATGTGAAAGGCCCATCTTTAAAGCTCCGCCATGTGAGGAATGTTTGTAATGGCATTTGGAGCTCGTGGGAAGTCAATATGGAAGGGTATATTTGTATTGTGTAGCCCCATGAGATGGATATAGACCATCGGTGCCACCAAGTGTTGTAGTAGCAAAAAGATTGTTGCATGAGTCGCGGTGGGTCGAACTGATATGTCTGAATGAGGGTCTTTAAGGATTCGAAGTTGGTTCGGTTTGGTAAGAGTGGTTTGATGTAGTCAAGGTGGTGGAGGGATACTAATGGTGTCATGGGATGTGCTGCGAGTAGACCGTATGCGTTTCCTCTAATATCCATCTGCGACAATCAATAAGGGTATAATCGTCATGTCGCAATACGGGTAATGCCTAATATTTAATAAGGCTACAACCGTCATTTCACAAATTAGGTCCGTCTTTGACAGTATATAAGGGTGTAATCATCATTTTGATACCACCACCAATGTGGATTAGTGGTGAATGGTGATCACTTGGGAATTAAGCATTTCAAAAGGAGTTGCCCCGATTTCCAATTCTTATCCAACAGTTTCAACTTTGGGATGACCCGTCGTTCTAAAAAAACAATCTATCATTTTGATAACTAGTGAAGAAAAAACCGACCATTTTCATCAATAAGAGCATACTCGTCATTTCAAAACTAGCGAACAAAAATAGACATTAGAATTATCTTTTTTCATGAACCCATAATATATTATGGTATACGGTATCATCGTATCATCGTACTAAAGTGTTGTTCTTTTTATAACAGGAGATGACCTATATATGTATCCTTTTTTATTTAATTCAAAAATAAAGATATAATAAAGAAAAAAGTTAGGGAAAAATATATTTTCTATTAAATCATTTTTTTCATGAATTTACGCTCTATATATAATTCTTTTATATATATATTTTTAAGGAAATTATTATATTTGGCAAATGCGTTGGGACGAGAAGTCGGTGGAATGTTGTGAGCGTAGAAACTAGAAAGACACGTGTTAGCATCAAATGAATGTGCCTGCAAAGCAGTTGAGAACCACATGACATTTCAACTTCGCATATTTAATGCCTCTCTCGCTCTTTAAAACTAATCATTATACGAAAAGAATGAAAAGAACAAATGTAGATCCCATTATAAAATAAAAATATTATTTTATATAATTATGTTATTTATAAAAAGGAAACTGAAATTGTAGGATAATAAAATCACTTTTTTTTGTAAACATTTAATTACCTTTTTTTTTTTGGTATATGATTAGGGGCTGTGGTGCCACTAATGGCTTCGGCAACGACTGGTTTTTCGGAGACAGTGCAAAAAATTTTGAAAATTTTAGAATCTTTTTTCTACTATCGTGATACTACTAAAATTTCCCGTGACACCCCTATTATTATGAACTTGCGTCCGCCACTATATATGATTCACCTTAAACTCCACAAAACTATTCAAAATCTATCATTTTTGGTCCGAGTATGTGAGAATATTGTTTTTTATGTACACGATTTACCTTTTATCATTTTTGGACACGATTTTGCCATAAAACTATGTCATGGTCACCTTCTTTGGAGAAGATCATCCCCTCACACCTCCACCGTCCACCTCCTACAACAAACACTAACTTCCCTCACCACCATTCGTCACCGTCACCATCACCACTCATCTCAACCATTCACCACCACCACCAACAAGTAACTAATCTAAAAACATTTTTGACTTGCAACAAAATCGAATCAGACCTCCGATCGATTCAAACTCACATTCAACCTACAAATTGATTCAAACTTCCAATCAATTCAAAATCAGAATCCAGCAGTAAAGTTGCATCCTTAAACGAACAAGGTTACTAGTGGCACATGATTCAGGAAGAAAGCAACAAGAGAAGGATATAACGGGTGCGATGGTTTTTGCAAAGTAGTAGGAGAGGAAGAGTATTAGAGAAAGGTGTGAATACTGACAAGAGAAAGGTGTGAACATTGACAAAAGGGATGTTGGTGGTAGTAAGGCTTTGTTTGTGATTACTTTTTAAACTAAAAAGTCCTTTTTCAAAAATGACTTTTTGATTTATGTCTTTTTCCAAAAGAAAATTTTAAAATGTGTTTGTATGAACTTTTGAGGGTGTAAAAGAAAAAAAAACTAAAAGTTACTAAAAGTCACAGATACGTGACGTGGCTTGTTAAACAACTTTTTTTTCTTCTTTTCAAAAAGTTAATTTAAAGGAACTTTTGAAGTTATCAAACAACTTTTTTAAACTTTTGACTGCCAAAAGTCCAAAAAGTCATTTGAAAACGAATGCCGACACCCTCTAAAAGATGTGGTAATGTGTAATCGCAAAGGAGAAAATGTAAAGTGTTTGCTTTGCAATGTTTAAAATAAAAATAGTGTTTTGTTTGTGCTTTCGAATTGTGTTTGATTTTTTTATTTGAGTGAGGCAACTCTATTAAAAACCCACTGTTAAAGCTACTATCAAAGACCTAGTACGAGTAACAATAAAATATACAAATAAAGCTACATTGCTATTCCTCTAAAAACACATACGATCTGTTTTTTCATAAATTTTTTATTCCTGGGGGTCCATTTCCATTAACTTTATAGCTGATTTTCATAAAATAATATCATAACTTAAAAAATAGTTAGTGATGAGGATTGCATTATCAAGATGCATTTAAATTTCTATTTTCAGAAAATATAAGAACACACATAATTATTTTAAATTAATGTAACAAAAATTAAAATTTCCTTCGAGGGTAAGGTAAAGGATCCTTTGACAAAAACGATGATCTTAGCAGCACTCACGACACGTATACCTCTTCAATGGACACCAAATCACTTTAACCTTTATATGATTATCATTTATATGTTTTCGTCTTTTTTGTCTTCACCAGCACATAATAAAAAATTAATATTTCCCACTTTTAGATATTCTTTTAAGATTTTTTATGTAAATTTTAATGCAATGTTTAAAAACCCCGGTTAGTGTAAAAAACATTTTTTTATTTTTTATCTATTAAACTTTATTATATTTTAAGATTTTGTTAATTTAATGTATCGGGGGTTCCATGTGACAGGATTACAGAATTCTGGTGCTGTTGTTACATTAATGTTTCGTAACCTTATAATCTAACAAACTAGTTATACTGCCTGCATAGAATTAAAAATAATTACATATCATTATTAATTTAAATTATAAAGATTATGTTGTAATAGTAATTGCATTTTCTGAAAATTAGTGGTATTACATGTTCCAAAAAATTGGGGCAATTTTTATGATTATTAGTTATAGTTTTTAAAAATTATTAATGACTTGAAATCATTTACATCCAAATAAATTATGTAATTGGTTTACTTAGGTTATCCAGCTACTACACTTTCTTCGTTTACCCAGCTACCTAATATTCATTAACTAAAATCAAAAAAATATAATAATTTTAATATATATATATATATATATATATATATATATATATATATATATATATATATATATATATATAACATTTTCTTGAAATTTTTAATTAAGTTATGTAATTCGTTTGGTTTTTTAAAATTTTAAAATGGAAGTGATTTTAATTTTCGTACACACATACAGTAAAAGTAACAACAAAAAGGTAATGACAATTACCAAAATAACCTCCATGAGTAGTAAAATTACCTGGTGAAACCCTCGTTCTTTGGTGAGTGAAACACCAATTTCGCTAACACAGGCCCACACCCTTTGATCAGAACCATAGAAGTAACGGTAACGATCAAGACACCCGTCGAAAATCCGTGCCAGCTCCACCGCCAACGGATAACTCACGGCGAACCCACCACCGCCAAACGCCATGTCGTACGAATGCATCACGTCCTGCTCTACACTCTCTGAACTCCCGCCAACATAATACATCTGCCGGTGATCGTACTTCGATAACACCGATACTAAATTCTCGCCGAAAAACACCGTATCATCGTCGCCCATTACGAACCACCTCACCTCCGGTAACCGGAGCTTGAACGACTCCAACACAATCCGGGCTATCCGAACGGCTGGGCTTGACCCGGCATTGTTCAAATGGGTCAGGGGTTCTGAGACTTTGTAAGGAGGAGAGTTAGGTTTGGAGAAGAGTTTCGGGTCGGGTTGTTCGTCTAACCAGACGTACCCTCGGGTTACGTTCGGTTGCCACCAGAGCTCCGAGTAGTGCCGGCGGTCCCTCCATGTTCGTACTGATCCACCGATACCGAAAAGTATGTGTGAGATTTTTGTAGGGTGTTCGGAATCTTGGGGAGAAGAATCTGGTGATTCTGCGGTTGTTTCGGGGGTGTTATGGTATTTAGGATGGAGACGGCAGCCGGGAGCGGCGGACCACCGTGATGGTTGGAAGCGGAAGGCGGAGAAGGAGACGAAGGTGATCGAAGTAACCACAAAAACAAAGAGCGTTAGTTTTAACGATTTGGTTATGGCTTCACTGTTTTTGTAATGGAATACATTTGTGATTTCTCGAATATGGGTCATAATCTCGTTGGAAAAACTCCGATGTTCCTAGTACAATCGAAACAAACAACGATGTGGTTTAAGATTTCTTAAGATTTTGGGATTTCGTTGTTATCAGTTTGGCCTTAATGGGGGTTTATGAGTGTAGGAAGCAGGTCTAGAAATCGTGTGGAAGAACAGGAAACCTTAAAAATAAGATCAACAAAAAGTGGGAAGTAGATTGTGACGGTGGACACGTGTCTTTGTGTGAATGATTTGGGGTAGGTTTGGTACTTAATCACTTTTTTGAACCCACAGACACTGTCGCTTAAATATAAAAACCAAATGCAAATAGAATCGGAGTTATTCATGAATGTTTGAAATGACTATATTAAGTTACCAGGCTCTTTTCACCGTATAGTTAATGCTTTTGGAACGCATTTTTTCACATTTTTTCAAAGAGTTTTTCATTATGCTGATAAGGGTGCCCAAAAAATGTATGTGATATATATGTTTTTTTTTTTTTTTTTTTTTTTTTTTTTTTTTTTTAAGATTTTAGAATATAAGTCTCGCATTAGGGGCCAAAAGCTCCTATATAACCCACTGTATCAACTTTTCAACAAGGAAGTGGGATGCATGATTAGAAAATTTAACGGCTAATTCAAGTGATTTCAAATCCGTAAACCCAACATAAAAAACCTTTCACGTATTCTCTGCTGTTTCAAAGCGTCTTTCGGATTGAAAGTTAATTTCTTCAAGTCTAAGGTTACTGGCATTGGAGTATTGGAGTAGGCTCGATTTTTGAGATGTGTTTTATGTTCCTTTCCCATTCAATATCTTGGTGTTTCCGTTGGAGCCAACATGAACCTTCTTAAGAATTGAAAACCGGTTATTGACAGATTTCACGCTAAACTTTCTTTTCGGAAAGCTAATGCTCTCTTTCGGGGGTTGTCTCACCCTTGTCAATAGTGGCGGAGTCAGAGTCAAAGTAAAGGGTATCCCAACAGGGGCGGACGTAGAAATTTACAGCAGTAGTGGCATCAATTTTTTTACTCAACATATACTATTAGTTGCACATATTTTTTTAATGGTTGTATCCAAGGTTGTTAAGATCGAGATTTTACCTTGATCATTTTTCGCTTTGTAAAATCGTAATCATAAGATCAAATCGAGATCGTAAAATCATATCTAATAAACAATAATTGTAATTATATAGTTTAAAGAGTTGCATATTTAAAAAATCCAAAACAATACATTACGTTAAAAAAATTATTAGTTATTATAATAATATTTAGTTTTAGCCATTCATTTGTAAATAGTTAGCCATTAAGTTGTAACTAGTTATAATAAAAATAGATTTTTAATAGTCTAATTTTTTGAAAGATTATAAACCTAGTGACACTTTAAAACCTATAGAATTAACCATGACCTTTTTACCATTGTTGTCCCTATACACTCTTTTACACCTCAAACAAAAAAGCTCATGTAATACTTATAGCCCAAAAACGTTTTTAACCTAAATAGTCATTTAGGTCTATCTCAATCTATCTTCCTAAACACTCAGTCGCTCACTCCATGGTCAAGCATACATTAGACTACACAAAGCAAATGACGAAGAGATCGCATGCGATATAGTATCACTAATCACATATTCGCATACAGCAAACGAAGGAAATACGACCTTGGTTTCACCTTTATACGAACTTCTTCATTTTTTTACATTTTTACATTTAAAACGAAATTTTTCGAAAAAAATTTTATAGTACTGAAAAAAAAAATTCAGGGGCATCGCGAGCTACCCCCGACTCTACATTGGATCTGCCCCTGCTTGTCAAGGCTGTTTTGGGCAGCCTTCCTACTTATTATCTCTCCCTTTTTAAATCTCCTATTGGTGTGATCGATTCTCTAGCGAAAATTAGAAAAAAGTTTCGTTGGGGAGGTGTTGAGGAGAATAATAAAATTCATTAGGTTTCCTAGGATAATGTTATCGCTCCAAAGGATAAAGGTGGGCTTGGGGTGGGATCGATTTATGCTCTCAAATATTGGGCTCATTGTGAAATGGTGGTGGGGGTTAAAGTTGCACCCAGATTCTCTATGGGCCAAGGTGATTGCTGGAATAAATAAACTCATGGCAAATCTGTTGATCATCTTTCTAGAAAATCCAATACTGGTGTGTGGAACAACATTGCAAATGCAACCAAAGACTTTCAGAAATTCAACCTTGACTTCCATTCCATCTTCTCTTACTCTCCCAATTCTTTGGTATTGGATTAGGTGTCTAAGTCAATAACTAAATTAGTATAATCTTGAATTATTAACAAAGTCCTTTTTGGGTTCCCCCAAACCTAGTAATTGACTAGATTGCTATTTGGAGAGAGAGAGAGAGAGAAAGAAAGAGACTGAATTATTAATTTATTATATAGTTAATAAATTAATTAGAAATCAAAATAAACGATTTATTAATATATTATGAGAATAATATATTAATTACAAATAGTATTGCTTAATAATAATTAATCAAAAATTAATTGGAATTAATTTTGGGGTTAATTGGATTAATTAAAAGTGGAAGGACTAAAGGTGACAATATTCAAAAGTTGAACATTGACCAATTCTAGAACCTCCCTAGGAGGAGAGACGAAATTCTAGTTGTTTATAGGGTTTCTAGAACTTTTCTTGGGCTCCAAGGAAACTCGGATGCCTTAGGAGGAAAACAAAAGGGATAAGGCTTATCTAAGGAAACTACCTTATCCTTAGCCTCCTTATCACCTATACAACCCCTCCTAAGGGTTCACAATTTCGTTCATCCCTTCTACAAGAGGTAGAAACGTAAAGCCTTCCTCCTCTCCTCCTCTCATCTTTAGCCTCCAATTTGCTAGGGTTTGGGTGTGAGCCATTAGATGCACGAGACTTATGGTGATTGCTTTCTGAAGACCAACAATGAAGGATTACTAGTTTATTTGAAATAATAAACTAAGGTAAATATTTTCTATTAACCCTTTAATAATTTCGAACATATCAATGTAATTCTAGGGTTTTTGATATTCAATAGTTATTTGCAAATCATAGTGAGAAGATAGATCCTTTAGGGTGCATGTGAACTTAGGGTTTATGTTTTTCTGCCAAAAATAGTTTTTTTGTAACATAAAAAACCCATCAGTGGTATCAGAGACATTGTTCTCATTGATCTTTCACAAAGTTGAATAGATCAAAATTATGGTTAATAGAAACTAAACCCTAATGGAGGCATTTTCGAAAATTGTTTGGGTTCTTGAAACCGTAGCCTCCATCCTTAGCTTTTTTGTTTTTTTACAACGGTTTTAGAAACCCTAGCCTCCTCCCTATTTCCGATTACTTAGAGGGCAAGTTAGGTTTCCTTATTTGATAATTATTATTTTAATTAGTTAAAATAGAATAATTAAAATTGGATAAACCCAATCCCTTAATTTTCGAAAATTTTGTAGGGGTTGGATTAAGATTAAATTTAAATTATTTGATTATTAGTTAATAGTAAATAATTATTTAATCCTCATGAGATTTAAATTAATTTAATTAATTGATAATTAAAAGATAAAGATTAAATCTTAATTGCTTAATTTTAAATTAAATTAATTTTTTATTAATTTCGAAAATTTAAATTTAAATATAGTATTTTAGAAAAGTTTTAAAATACACCTTATACTATATATAATTAAAAGATTAATATATTATATGTATAAGAAAAGTCATTCAAATCGCTAATACGCCTCATTCACGAAACCATGCTATAAATAGTGTGTAAGGAAGCGACTTATAAAATGGTCGTTGAATGGGTGTCCACTCTCACCCACCGTTCTCCTGTGTGGTGGAGGGTTGTTAGCCGAACAAATTTGATAGGATATAATCTCATTAATAAGTATAATGATATAAAGTAACTAAACTATTTTTAAAATTCAACTTTTAGTTACTTTAGGAAAATGTGAAAAGCATGCTAATCCATGAAAACGCACATCATGCTTTATATGTCGTTAGTGGAGCGTGTGTGGTTAACCGACACACTAATAGGGACTATAAAGAGTGATGATGGACATATTGAAAATTATCATTGTTGATGGAGTGTGTGTAGTTTCCTGGGACATCAATGTGAGATGATAAATGACATCAGGTTGTCAAGCGGGTTTGCATGATTATTCACATCTCGTTTGTGATCCTCGGCATCCCAGTCACAAAAGCGAGAGCATAATCCGAGATAAAACATGCCAATGATAAGAATCAATGAATCTCAAAAGATCTAGGAATTTCATAAGATTGGAATTGGTAAAAGCCTTACCTACCAAAAATATATTCGAATTTGATTACGACATCCCTCTTCAAAGTTCGAATCGAAAATATGGATCCTAGCCTTAATTTAAATTTATGGGTTAATAATTAATGATTAAAATCAACTAACTTGAATTCTCCTTTTCTCCTATTTTCAAAATATCTTATAGAAATGGTCTTCCTCATTCTTAAGGAAATAGTTTTCCTTAGTCTTCTAGAGATGGTCTTCCAATTTCAAGTCAAGGTGAAATTGTTTTCCTTTCCTTAGGAAATGATGGAACTAGACATCATCTTTCTTCAACCTCCTCCTCTTGTGAATCTACCAACGTCATGTTTTCCTCAAGTTGAAAGATACGAGACTACTCAATCCCTATTGGCATATAAACATCAAGATGAAAACCATGTGTGTACACATGTTCTGAAAAGAAATCGTACATTGACAAGTTAGATAGAATGGGTTTCGTTTTCCTAAGGAAGCAAGCCATTGATTTGGTTCTTCACTCGCTTCCAAATTCATATGATCAATTCATTGAGAACTTTTATATGAGGAATATCGACGTGACCCTAATTGATTTGACCCAAATGTTGTTTGTTACTGAAACATAAATACTTAAGAGCGCATCTAAAGCAGAGATGCTTATTAGGTCTAGTTCTAAGGTTTATATGGACATTGACATTAGTAACAATGGTGGTCCAGAAAAGATTTCTCTTCCCAATGGAAATGGGCCGTCCAAGATCAAACTGTTTGATCATATGGTAAAGAGAAATGGTTAGTTTTGGGATTGTTCCATGTGTTGAACCCAAAGAGTCCATTTGTTTTTCAACCAAGAGAAGGGACATTGGAAACAAAGTTGCCCAAAATACATGAAAGATCTTAGAGATAGTAAAGTCAAGTTGTGTG